CAATCAGTATCTCTCTTAGTCTGACTCTTCCCCTTCGACCTGTCCGGCATGGGTGACTCTACCGGTAACTTATTAGCGTTTTTGAATGAAGCAAGTTTTGAGAGCGATTAAACCCAATTTACCATGAATTTCTCCGCATTTTTTATCTACAATGTATTTAGCACGGACATGCACCAATCGATCGTTTTACCATGGCATCAAAGAGTGTCTGGCCATTTAGTTCCGCCTACTCTAAAATGGATCTAGTTAGCGCCACTGTACCAGTTAAGACTCTCAGGCTTCTCTCTGCTTAATGTCATTCTTTCTCTAAATTTCCGTTGGTACTCCTGTTACGATTACTCTGATAAAATGCGCCAATTCGAAATTTGAATATATGTAGATAATGCATCTTTCTCAAGCTTCTTACACGTATATTGCCATGTATGCCTTTAAATCTTTGTAAAGAGAATATCGAAAATAAAACGCCGTTAATCATAGCAACTGATTAGAAGGCGCGTTTACGTCTCGTCGCGATTTTTCAATCGTTTGTTAAAGTTTTTTACGAAATTTTCAACCCTGTGCGCGTCCACTCGGCCGCCATGACAGTTTCGGCATCGCATCGGTTCGCGCACGGAGCTCGATAGCTCCGCGAAAAATTGCGAATTTTATCTATTACAAGCGCATAACGAGCGCGAGTTTGTGCCGGGAGTGCCGATTAAAGTAACGGGCGATCGCGAGAACGTATCAAGCGTCGCGGATCTTTGCTATAAATGGCGTTTCCTTGATCACGATCCGCGATGTCTACCGTGTTTTAAAATCGGCATTGTATCAAATGTACAGTGAGTACAGATTTCGATACCTTAGACACGCGAAAATGATCTCTATGTCTGTTCGCGAGATTCGATAGTGCGGACAAGTGCGTGTATAGAGAGTTTCATTAGCGTGTTGTAAATTGAAATCGTCAATAAAATGATAATTGAATCGAAAATAATATCGAGTGAAACACGGTTGCATAGGCTGTGTCCGTACGTGACGACCTTCGTGTGACCGCCAAACGATCGTCACTCGTCTCGCTCCCTCAGTATGCACGTACAGTATCGAATAGTCTATCGAACGTGTAAAGTGATAATATTCGGCTATTTATTATGTGCGTGCGAAGAGCATCTTATCCCGCGTTTGCGTCTCGCGACGTGAATCCACGTTTCTTCGAAAACGAAGCGCACGGATCAAGTTTCAAAGCTCGTCCGATAAAGTGCGCATTTCCAATCTTCGTCGCTGATAAGAGGCAGTCTGCAGCGGATTTGCAACAGGTACAGTAAACTGAAATATTCTGGTTGACTAGCAAATAATTCATTTATTATTTTAATGTTTATTTGATCTCATGATAGCACACATACAGAGAGAATTGCAATTAAGATATTTTATATATATGTAAAATATATTTAATAAATGAAACATATATTTAATGATTTCTATAAATAGTAAAATATTTATCAAATATTTATTAAAATAATTATTAAGTATTTATCGAAATATAATTAAATAATGTAAGATTCCAAAATTGAATTTAGATAACCGGGCAGGAAGAATATTATGTATGTGGACTTGAGTGGCTCATTGCTCAGCGACGTATTTATTGACTAGCGTGAAGGTTCATGGATCGAGTCTTGGTGGAGCTCTAAATATTTTTCTCTGCTATCGATTTACAACTTACGACTTCAGATAGCGAATTTATGATTCAAAACCACCCATGTGCAGCATACGATCGGGGGGGCTTTTTTCATCAAGTATGAGATTATCGTTACAGCTGCTACATTCAACGCTATTGCTCTCCTCACCAAGTCATATGTAATCTTCTGAGAGTCACAATTAGTCCGCATGTCGTTTGAAAAAATAGAAGAGCGTGTTTATCGCGACATTAAGGCGGTTTGAGTGGACTCCAAGCAACAAACCGATGTAACAAAGGATGTGCGGATATTAATTGCTTTCGCCACCGTCCACATGACTTACTTTAATGTCGCGATGAATATGTTCTCCTATTTTTTTTTTTTCAATTTGCAACGCCAATTCTCTCATCGGTGCCGTCGAGCCCTAAATGTTCTTTTCTGCTATCGGTTTATATCTTACAATAATTATTTACATTATTTGTTACATAATAGTCGTGTGTTTTAATTATAACGGGCAATAATTAAATAATATAATAATAAAAACGCGCGTATATAAAATGCTCAATAAGTAAAAATTATTACAATATATGATAATTTTTTTTCAGATAGCTGCGGGCATATTTAATTAGGCTACACATTTGGTGAGAATGAATTTTATTATTATTTTTGCATCTTACACACAATACTGATATCATCTGCTGTTATTTCATTTGCCAAATAAATATATGATATAATAATTAAAAATATGCTATAATAATAAAACTGCGCTTTGACAACCATACTTTCGTTTGCGATTTGCATTTCTGCGAATAATAATAAAATACAAAATTATACTCTCTTCCTATATTTTATTAATAACGAAAAATTTAAAGTTTTGCATAAGTCATATATGTATATGCTGTTCATTACTTTTAAATCACAAAACTACATAAATTATTTCAAAATATAAATTTATATAAATATATATATATACATAAAACAAAATTCTCTGGAAATGTAAATCGTAAAAAATTAATTTTAGAAACTAAAATATTGAAAATACAATATTTGATACAGATTTAATGTATACGAATATATATTTTTTCACAATTTTATTATTAACAAATTTAATTGCTCAAACCAGCGAGTGTCAAAAAACGGTTTCGGATGTGCAGTTACGAAGTTGATGCGACGAAAAAGCCGTGGTTATTGATACAATTGCTTATACAGCAAGTGGTATTATCGACTCGCTTTTATGGTGTGCATTTCACCAAACGATTCTCATCTTCTGCCGGGCATAATAAAATTCGAGGATCTTTTAAACGTGACACATGCTTTGCGAAAAAAACCTTTTCCGTAAAAAATAACGGAGTGTTACAGCTATTCTCACTGTATTTTTTATTGTTACATAGTTTTTATAATTTTATAATTCTATTACACATAGCTTTTATAATTGTTTTATTTTATTAACTTAAAACAAATTTAAAATTAAAATATTACGTGAACAAAATCTCTATTTCCTGTTTTATATTATCGCCTGCATAGCAGTTAGATAAGAAATAGTTTTAACTTTGCTAATTTTTTTGTCACGATTAACTAAAATTATTTACATATAAATCGTTCTAAAAACCATTTCAAACAATTATAGGAAAAGATATTATTAATTTAAACGATTTGTATTTCTTTTATATTAACTATCGACGTTAGAAGACTATATTATTTCCAAAAAAATACTGTGGATTATAAAATATTTTTTTTCTAAATGCATTTTATAAAAATAAAATTAATCATTTTTTTATATTTTTCTTATATCCTTTTATTTTATTCAATGTTTATGTTAGAAAATAATGTTGTGGAAGTATCTTATGATTTAAAATTGGCCCTTCAAAACGGAAAGAAATAAGCAATAGAGATAGGAAAAAGGCATCTGATTATCCGGAGACGATCAATGGTTGATTTATTTGATCGACTTGAAAATACGGTTTACCAGCTGCCGTGGACAGAAAGATGGGCGAGAATGACAGTGGGTGAAGTGGAATGGAAGGGGGGGGGGGGGGGAAGGGAGGACAGCCATATCTTGGAATGGTAATGGTAATGGTACCGGTGCAGAACGACGGAAATGCGGATTATACGAGCGTTCGTTTCTTGCCCGATACTTTCTTCAACGTCGTCTTCGCCGAGTTCTTCTCCGTCCGTTTACAGTTAAGGATACGACACGACGCCGGGATGAAATTAAGCGCCGGGCTTTTGTCTCTTATGGTCGTTGACATTTAATATCCGAAATCGGCAACCTGCCGGCACTCTCATTAGCCGATGCTCGATTTTGTAGTCGATCGTCGTAACCCGATCGATCAGCGATGATATCAGTATTTTTCCATTGCTTACAATACATATTTATATATGCGATAACACAATACACATTGTGTTTAACTGCTTTCAGCGTATATATATAAATTTGTTAAAATCAAGAAATATTATTATTGTTTAAAAATTAAACTATTTAACTTGAATATTAAATTTTACTAATAATTTTAAATATTAAAAGAGAATTTTATAGATGTAGTTTTAAAGACATTTTTTAAATAGTTCTTGTAATTTTATTTTATTCACAAAATTTTTTAATGACATTTAAATCAAAATATATACATTTTCTTATGCGTGTATTATTTATTTTACTAAAACTACGTACTTTTCTGTAGAAGTAAATATTGATTTTCTTAAAGTAAGTAAAGATTGATTGTAAAAAATATAATAAATATATAATTTCATTAAAAAATATATACGCTAATCGCATTCTATTTAAATATTGTACTTTATTTAATAACTAGATCTTTGGTATGTTAGAATTATATTAAAATGTATTACGATGAGACATCCGGCATTAGAAATATTAAAAGGAATATTGAATACGATGTTAAAACATGAATATGTATTTAAGCTGAATGTAAATTTGATACTCGATTGAAGGATGCCTTACATCGTTTACACATCGATATAAAAGTCTCTTTATTAACAAGTGTTCATAAAGATTTATTTGAAGTTCTTGCTTCATTACGAGAAATTTACGGAAACTTTTGCTTTGGAATCTTTTTATTTAACAATATACAGTGGGCCTTGCGTTCTTTCTCACAAGGATTGACAGTTTACTTTGTTACTCTCGATATAAATGGTTCTCTCGATATACATACATATATACATACTTGTTTTATTGTTTGAATCTAAAACGAAAATTAATGTGTCAAATTTTATTATATATTTGCGTTTTTAAAGTCTTAATTCTATACATTTTTTTCTTCCTCTCTCTCTCTCTCTCTCTCTCTTTTAATCATGTATGGAATATATTAATCTTGGACAAAACATAAATATATTTAAAATTTTGTTGTAATTCCGAACATCCCCACGTGCATATGAAACACTGCTCTAAATTTTCCTTTTGTATTTTTTAAAGCATTTTCTTCGAAAAAAAATATATATCCACTCCATATATTAATGTGTGATCAATAAACAATGATCGTTAAAAGTATTAAAAGTATTATTAAAACGTAAAGTCCAATACGTTTTCTCTTACATATATTTTTTTGATCAAGTTGGACATTTATTGTACATTATTTGTATATTAACATTTTAATGAAATTTCCTCATACTGCCATTGATGACGATTTTTGTCACTTTAACATTCCTCGTTCTCGAAGAAGTTTACCTTCATCCCGTGACACGCTCGCAACGCTTGCACACACCACCGCTCTCTGCAATTCTCAGAAAGTATCAAATCTCAAAGCTCGTAGGCGCGCGGTAAACAGCTATATTACGGTATTTTTCAACGGCCCTTCTCGCGTGCATGTCGGAAAATGGTACTACGAGGAATTCTCATTGAGATAACGATACGACGGACCGTCGTAAAAGAGGGTTGTACGCACATATATCGCGAGAGAGAAAGAGAGGTACAAGGAAGGAGGAGAAGAGGGAGAGAGAGAGAGAGAGAGAGAGAGAGAGTCGTTTATGAGCTGGGTAGAGATGCGAGATAGAAAATTTCTACGCGCGATTTCGTTGTGGTTTTTCTTTTTTTTTCTTTTTTTCAGGAGACGCTCACAGTTGTATTATGTCGCATTCAGCCGCGCGTAGCGAGCACGCGCCGATCGAAATTTGACGTTTGTAGCGGCGCGCGAGCTTCGGTCGGCTTCCGCGGACGGCGTCGCCGTCGACATCTCTCGACTCGCGTGTGCGGGCGATCAGTCAGTCGGGAGCGCGAGTTCAGTCTGGTAAGACGCGTCGTCCATCGTCCGTTCGCCGGTTCGCGGCGTCGTTCCGGCGTCTCACGTTTTCCATTTCGTTTCGGTAACGTCAAACGCGCGCGCACGCATCACGTCGCGGTTCGTCGCAGATCGAGGTGTCGTCCGTGATAAAGTGCCCGCGGATCTGTGTATTATGTTCACCTATCACTTGAGATAAAGTGTCATCGGACATAACGGAGCCCAGTCTCTTCTCACGCGAGGGAGGAATCGAACAGCGGAGTCTCATCGCGCCGAGGAAAGGTGGTCCCCACCACGTCAAACCTTTCAAACTTCTTCGAGACACGGTTGATTTTCTATCGCTTCTGGTGAGTGTCTAGCAAATGTGGCTGTTGTTTCCTCGACGTTGTCGCCGTGAACGGACAAGAGCGAGTCTCTCGCAGCTGTCACGCACTCCGCGAGAGCGACTGTCGGCCTGTGGCTCTTATCGAGCCGACGCCGTGCACGACGGCGCGACGAAATTGATTTTGAGCGCGCGCACTGCGGGCGATCCTTGATGTACTCTTTCAAGTACTCGGCCATAATGTAGGATTGTATTCGAAGAAAATATTCGTTTGACACAAGTTCGCGACGCGATCGAATCGTTAGCTATTCTTTACTTCATACTTTTATCGTTAATAAAACGAGAATTATTCGTAGTGTTTTTTTTTTTTTTGCGATCGAGTCGCTTTTAATATTTACATATACATTCTTATATATACGCATATATTTATCTATTTTTGTACTCGTGATTTTTATCACGTATCTATTTTTCTCTCGAACAGTATGATTAAATACCTATATGTATTGAATTCAAGAGCTCAAAGAAAGAAAATTTTCAATGCAATAATATATAACAGAATAATCATAAGGTTTCTGTGAAGGCATAACATTCTAACGAGATAAGTCCAGCGTAAATCTCCGTAAGCCTTGTATACTTTAAGTCTAAGACATTCCCTTTATCATGTCATTTATCCGAGGCTTAATACCGTAATTCAGATCGAGGATTAAACTCGGAATGTTGTTAGGATTAGAGTCTCTCCTAACCTGCTATTTATTTCGGAGAAATCGAGATTTATCACCGTAAGATTACGTGCGATACAACCCGCTCGTTCCACGGGATAATTCTTCGCCGTCGCGTTTACATTGTAAAACGCGAATTTCTTGGCGGTGCGCTGTGCATTGGCCGCGTTTTCTAGAAAGGCAACACACACGTGCGATGTTTTCCCTGGACGCGCGTTCGACAACAGGTTTTCGCGCACGTAAGCGTCGCATCTCGCTTACGTAACGCGCGTCGAAGGTTGCTCGATCGCGCGAAATGATTCTCGGGGGAGTATCCTTACGTTCTAACCCCTGCCGAGAGCATCCTGCCGATCCGAAATTCTTTGTGTATCTGTGAATATTTAAAGATTGTTTTTTAAAAGACGCGTTTTAGTCCTTTCCACTTTACAATGGCATTGTGCTATTTTTTTACGGCCTTTCATAGATCGGTTCCGATAAATGGAAAATGAACTTTTGTAATATTTGAATCGAATCAAAGAACAGGAAACAGTCCTTTCGATCTTTCCTTCTTTTAAGTCTTAATTTTTCTGTTAAAGGTAGCGTTATTTTATTAAAAAATTTCTCTAGCTAGCACAATTACAGTTCAAATATTCAAATTTTATATCACCGTTATTGATTTAAGATATATAGTATGAGATATATAATAACAAATTTCATGAATTCTATTACAAAATAATATTTCCCAGGAGCGATTTTTCAAATGTTGATGAATAACAATTTCGATTGAACGTATTAGTGCGTGTTAAAAATCATTGTATGTGTGTATCAAAACTTGCGGCACAATATGCATCCAATCAACTTTACTATGATTTTGTTTATTATTTTATTCGACGCTTGGAATTAATTAAAATATAATTTTCGGATTTAATTATTCTAAAATATTTACAAATTGCTCAGGTATTATTTCGCGATGTAGACATTAAAAAAAGTTTTTCCTACTTAATCTTTTTTAAAAATATATTTGAGAATATTCGCGTGATAATAAAGGTGGAATTGTGTATTCGATACTATATTCGGGATTTTAAAAGATATAAGGACACGGAATCTATAATATATTGATTACAGTCTTGCGACACGCGTAATTATGATACAATCGTCTTTGGCGGCACAGGCGTTAACAAACGTGAGCAATTTGCCGCGTTTGCAGAAACGACATCGACGCAAATAATCAATAATGACTCTTGCCTCAAACAAACACGTGTGCGATGCCGTCTCTTGATGTCGCCGCGTTAAACATTCCGTGCGAGCGTGATTTCGTCGGCGTTTTCTGTGTTTTATCTGTGTGACGGTTATTCCACCAGACATGCTGCTAATTGGCAGCGTAGAGAAAATACGATTCACGCCATTCAGTGTTTCCACGCGAAACGGATATAACGTAATCTTACGCCGCAGGACTCTGTTATCTCGCGTCCAAGGACGCGAATTCCTCCATTGTTTCGTGCGGCCGATGTAAATAGGATTGAGAATCCAAATATGCTTCATCGTCGTCATCATCTTTATTCTGCATTGCGTTTTTTTGACGCATGGATAAATAAAATGTCCGTTTAGTATCTCGCGAAGATCTTTATTATATCGAGAATGATTAACGCTAATTTGTACGCACGTATATATTCAAGCCATTGTATGTTATGAGAAAAAGATAATAGAAAGAATCCGGGTCATTAGGGAAGAACAAAAGTAGACTCGCATTTCCGAGCTGCTGCTATCTCTAATTTGAATACTTCCTTTATTTAGAATGAATTAACTAAGTTATTTCCAATGCACGTTCTTGTGTTTATATCAAAGTTAAAATAATTCTAATAGCCAAGAAATAATATATAGCATTTATTAATTGGTTTTTAATTACCTTTGTAGAAATTTCTATGTATTTTAAGGGGAGGAGAGTGCTATTGTGAAATCATATCGTAAAACTATATATTTTTATATTCCTCTAAACGTTGGATTAACATATCCAAATAATGTTTTTCTTTTTTTTCTCATATAACATCATTTAGCTACATCACTTGATCGATGCTTTTTGCCGAGTAAGTTCTTTCGGGATTTTCATTATAATAAAGTTAAATTTTTCGGAGATTTTAATCATTCGTAACTTTTGATAAAATTACAATTTCTTTAAATTGCGCAAACCATCAAATCGTTTACTTATTTTTGAATAGAATAAAAAAATTATAACAATTGGACTAGTAGTTTCCGAGAAAAAAAATACATAAAGATCAAAGATTTATGATTGTATAGAAAAGCGCGTTTCAAAGATTTAAACGCTATTCTTTAATATATATATTTTTTTTGTAGTTAAACATATTTAAAAATTATTTTCTGTAACTCAAAATATTCAGGAAATTATTTACTTTTCTTTAAATGAAAATAAATTTGATATTGTAATTATTTTGAAGAGAGATTGTATTGTCTCTCCTTTAATCACTTCTCGCGAGTATTCTGAATTAATATCTATAAAGTTGTACATTGAAGTTTATTGGTATTTGCGCAAATACATATATCGCGCATATGACAAGTGGATATATGCCATTTGAATACATCGTGACATAAGATCGTTGATAATGTACTTGCATAAACATGCGACCCATTATCGTATTATATTAGAGCGACATTGTGCACATATCTGGTGAATCATACCGTTTCCTTCAAATTATATCTATTGATAATGCGTTAAAGGATACGCTAATTTCTCTTTCGTCATATCCGACTTTTTTATCGGTTTTCCTAACTATAGATCGTTCATGGAAATGTCAATTCATCAAATGACCGTTATATGATTTTATAATTAATTTTGTATTTGTTTCTTTTACGCGATATTTTATTGCCATTTTATTGATTTTATATAAACGCATTTATGCCGCTTCATGCATGATAAGAAATCTGTCGTATGAACTGTTAAACGTTATTGTGCAGAGAGCTTAATTTAGCTGTCCATGTTTGCACATTAACTATGTTTCTTCCGCGAAATAATATTTTTCGCAGCATAGTTCGATAAAAATTACACCATGTAGTGCAAAGGGTAAATAACATAGTAACACAAATGTTTGCACCGTAAAGAACCTTGTTATTCGCAATGCGTGACTAGGAATGAAATCACCTAATAATACTTCATTCATAATCGACATTTATTGCGATAAAATACGAAGAGATATAAAATATATCTCGTGAGCGTGTGTCAGATCGCGAAACTGTACTTACAATATTTACAACATCATGTTGCCTTGACTCGTGATCGCACTTAAACGCGATTCATTAACCGAGATAAGCAAAAACAAATGCATGTATTTCCCTCCTCGTTTGAATTATTAAGGACGCATAAAGCCCCGGTGAGCTTTCATTCTTTATATATCACAAAGCTTCTCTCGTCGGAACGGAATAAATCTACAGATGTTCAATAAAAACGAGATTTCTCGGTATTGCCATCGACTGCATAACGAGTACTTCATTAGCTTTTTCTTCTCTTTGTATTTCTCATAGAAACACTTTTTTCCTTTCCGATAATCATACAGCTTCGTGTTGCGCTCCCGCAAGCAAATATTACGTACGACTAATTTCCTGAGTGGCGCGCGCCGAGTTAATGGAGTTTTGCTTTTTTTTTTAAATCCGCATACGTTGAGTTCTTTGATTACGTTAAACCGGATTTTTTAATATGTTAGGAAATGGTTACCTTGTTTAGAGGTCTCAAGTGTGTCACTCATATAAAGTCAGAATTAGGTAATAAACTTTATAATAGACATAAATTTAAAATGTGTGTGTATGTAATATAATTATATAGTATATTTTTATATCATATATACAAAATTTAAGAAATTTTATATTTGTTATTATTATTTATATATACGTATAAAAAGAGTATATCGATTAAAAAAGGAAAGAGAACTGTAAAGAGGTGGAAAGAATATTAATCAATCTTCTCGTATAGACAAATTGACGATTCTTCGCTGTCATTTCGGAAAACAATTCAACTTTATTAATTTTGTAGACATAAACGCTCAATCCTTTCGATGTTTGGATCACAATTTCACATGAATATGTAGGTAAAAGGATTTATATTTTTATATTCCTCTAAACGTTGGATTAACATATCCAAATAATGTTTTTCTTTTTTTTCTCATATAACGTCATTTAGCTACATCACTTGATCGATGCTTTTTGCCGAGTAAGTTCTTTCGGGATTTTCATTATAATAAAGTTAAATTTTTCGGAGATTTTAATCATTCGTAACTTTTGATAAAATTACAATTTCTTTAAATTGCGCAAACCATCAAAT